CTCGGAAACAGCGTCAGCATGAATCTTCCAGTAAAGCCAATTGACAGCTGGTCAAGAGGAATCCGCCGTCATCTTCTGGTGGAGCCGAACTTCAAATCTCTTCGCCCAACACTTTCACTCGAAATGAAAGTAAGCTCAACAATTGTAAAACAAGAGATTCTTCTAAACCCAACTTTTCTTCGCATAGAAAATGTTTTACCTTGTTTTCGCTATTTTATCGTATTGTCAGGGCGACTCAGAGGAGCTCATCTTGCCTAGAGTTCCAGAGTTGGACCGGGGACTTGGCATATTTCCAGACATTTCGTCGACATCATCAGGCAGTGTTGCTATTCTCAGCACCACACTTGTCTTTTTGACGAGTGGCAGCGTTCGTGCTAAGAATAGCCAGACTGGGAATGTAACAATTCTACACATCGAATCAGCAAACTATCATGCCGACAATACTGGCCTGACAATTCGACACATTTGCGACAGCAAGGTCAGACTACTTATATGCAATAAAAGTAGACAGCGAACGTACTAAGGGTAACACTATTTTGGTAGTTACACCTTCGAGTAGCCTTGTCGATTGTTACACATAAATGTCTTATTGCCCAAATCGCATCCGTCGAATCATGAAAGTGGGAAACCAGGATTCACTAGTCTCCTTGCACATGACAGGGAGTTGTAAGCAAACCGCATGGTGTTGATGATTCTGCCTCGACTCTCGAGATTGCAGCACAGTTTGGAGGTGTCATCCTTTTAGGAGGCAATGCCATATGAATTTGTATGGCGTCTTTCCATTTTGGTGTCTGTACCTGTCAGTTCTAGCATAATCTTGAACGAGCTAAACTGATTCTTGTCAATTAAAATGTGTTTTTTTGGCAAGAAACCGGCCAATTTCAGGTACACTTCTCCCTCACTCCTGCAGAAGTCACCGATTCCACTTTTGTGCTCGTTTTTTGACCTCAGCCGCGCTGAGTCTCTGTCTACTTGAGGCCCGTGGCATTCTGCACAAAAAGCGAAGCCGATCGAGTCCACTTAACTGGCCTCAGTCATGGAGTGCTGGAGAGGACAGAGGCAAAAATTGCCCTCAGTTGGGCGCTAAGTGCACGGCAGAAGATTGCTCGGGGGCAGTGATTTACGATTTGTCCCAACTAAAAGCAATTTGTGAGACGTTTTTCCTATAACTGGCTTTTCGCATCTATTTACGCGAACTGGGCCCGGCCCAGTTCACATGTAGCCACCTGATTTCTGCTGGATTAAGACAGACGAAAAGTAATTTTTGAGTGATTGCCCAAAGTCATTTGGCCTTCGTCCATTAAGGCATGAAACAAAAGAGCCTGCATCTCCGTCTCCTCAGTCAACACCAAGTTAGACTCGTTTTTCGGCAGCTTCAGTTTGTTGAAACTTTTATGCAAATTTCCCCATTCACTTGCATTGCTGTTTAATATTCACTTCATCAAAGCTGTTGCACGCCCAAAGCGAGGCCAGATTGACTCAAAAGATGTTTCTTTAATGCCTATCAACAGCGACTCGGCAGCCGACCCAAGGGGGCTACGGACACAAGCACAAACATGCACGCAATAGTGTACGTTTGTGCATGTATGCATCTATATAGAAGAGTTTGACTAAGCCATCTGACCTATCTTCATGGTTACCAGTTGCACGATAAGGAAGATTAATTTCTACCTCAACAACCAAGCATGAAATATAACTATTAACGTCGGAAAAGCCTTTCAGACGGCGCAATATGTGGCATATTCGAGTGTACATTAATTTACAAATGATGTATAATTATATAGTCTCGGAGAGGATTACACATTTTTACGATACTTTACAAGTCGTGTAGGCACAGACAATAAGTGTACTCGATTGGCTCGATTTCCTAGTCCCCTAGGCCTGGGCCAGGAGGTTTTGAGCGCCATAGCAACAGTGAACGAGTGTCTACCTCCGGCAACTTCTCCACACTTGACTCGCCCTCTTCATGCTGTCCAGCCGCCGAGGCATCATCCACCGTGCTGAAGGCTGTCCTCTGTCTGGTAGTCATGTGCAATGTTGGCAGGATGGAGCTGTGTTGCTTGTCGACACCCTCCGGTATGATCAAGGGAAAGGGTTGCGAATGCGACGTCTGCTCTCGGCAGGCGTCTCTCGAAGTCAGCTCAGAACCAGGAGTCTTCTCGGGCCCGGCCAACAATTTAGCCCCGGCGATTGAAGCAAAGAAAGCAGACTTTACTGCCGGTTGCCATGGTGACGGTTGCAGATGTGGTGGGGTTTCTGGGGTACAGGGGGGCGAGAGGAGTGGGATTCGCTGGGGCTCCCAGACGTCTGGAGTCCTTTTGGTCTGGTCGTAGACAGCAGCCGAGGTGACAGCGCCTGAGGCCACTCGTCTGGCGTGTAGGGAGGTGGAGGATATGGAGCGACGACCGGCAGAATCCTCCGTTTTAGCTACCCCCAGAAGCCAGGAGCGCGCCAGCCCACCGACGACGGTGGTGTCGGATCTTTTGAGCACTGAAATTGGACATGACGGAAGACGAAACAGCATGACTTGTTGACAAGCACTCTCCGTTCAACGGTACAGAATATCCCATGTGCAGTGGAGCGCAACTTCAGTGAACAGACACGTGATTTTGGGCGAGGATGCAATGCTTCTCTCACAACCACATTCACTTCACTTGCCCACAAGTATGTAGAGGAAGTATGGAATAGCCAAACAAAACGTGTGATCATATATACCAGATGTGTTTACTGTATTTCGTTTAAAGTAATAAGAGGACTATTAGGGGAATTTTACCACAATCATATGAGTGGACTTTATACATTCATTGAATTTCACATAGCCTTGTTTTCCAAAAAGGTATTCTCATCCTGAGGCATTAATAGTTCGAGTCCCACTAGGGACTCTGGAATAAAATACCTTTTGGAAAGTAAGGGCACGTGAATCATAAGGCCTTCTCATAGTAGTGTGGAAAAATTCAA